GGTTCAAGAGGGCCCGATTCGCCGAACGATCACTCCCACACGCCAACACGCTCAAGATGCCCCCCCGACGGCTCAACAGGCCTCCAAGATGCCAAAGTAGGCCTCCAAGAGGCCTCCCAAGAGGGTCCCAAGAGGCCAACCGCATTGATTGCCCTTTGGTTGTTGACAGATCTTGCTGACGCTCCAAGACGGCCCAAGAGGCCCCCTACTTAAGACCACCTGAAGACAGTTCAAGAGGCCTCCAAGGGGGCCCCACGACAGCCTAAGAGCACCCCAAGACGGCCCAAGAGGCACCCAAGACGGCCCCAAGACGACCCCAAAAGGTGCCCAAGAGAGTGAACACGAACCGAAAATCCGAGTCTTCCACCCCAAGAGGCCCCCAGGAGGCCCCCAGAGGAGCCAAGAGGCCCCCCCGAACCCCCAAGAGGTCCCCAAGAGGCCCCCAAGAGGACCCAGGAGACCCCAAGAGGACCAAGGGATGCCCCAAGAGGCCCCGAAACGGCCCCCAAGAGGCTTCAAAGCTGCCTCTATCCAGACGCCTGCCCCGAAATCCCAACGAATATCGAAGAAGCTCCATACCCACAACCCGGGCACGGTGGCAGTATGGGCCAAAAGGCCCTTCGGTCCGCCGCCCCCTGTCGATTCATCGCAGGGGTGCCTGGCGTGCCAGATGATATGGGTTTGGTTTTGGCTCTTTTCCTAAAAGAACTCCCCCTGTGGCTTCGGCCCGTCCCGCCGGCCATCCGGAAAACCAATCGGTCAATGTCAAAAACGGCCGTTTCGCTCGGGACATCCTCAAACAATCGCGAAGATGGCCCAAGATGGCTTCCAAGTCCGCCCAAGATGGTCCAAGACGGCCTCCAAGACGGCCCACGCGAGTCCAAGACGGCCCAAGACAGCCCAAGAGGCCCCCCAGAGGCCTCCAAGACGGCCCAAGAGGCCTCCAAGAGGTCCTCCAGGAGGGCCCGAAGATGCCAAAATCATTGATTGTCCTTGAGTTTTTGAAGGATTTCGGCATTTGCTTCTTCTCGGCACTCCGACGGCATAAGACGGCCCAAGAGGTCCAAGATCGCCCAGGAGGCCCCCATGACGGCCCAAGAGGCTTCCAAGACGGCCCCAAGAGGGCCCCAAGACGGCCCAAGAGGTCTCCAACACGCCCAAGATGGCCTCCAAGACGCCCAAGATGGCCTCCAAGACGGCCCCGAAGCGCCCCCAGAGGGCCCCCAGTCGGCCCAGAAAGGCCCCCAAGACGGCTCCCGAAGGCGTCAGACGGACCAGGAACCAACCAATATGGCCGAAGTTGGCTCGAAGCTGGCCCAAGACGGCCCAAGAGGCCCCCAAGAGGGCCTCCAGGAAGGCCCGAACAAGGCAAAAATCATTGATTTTCCTAAGGTGTTTGACGGATTTTGGCATGTCCTTCTTTTCGGCCTTCCGACGGCCCGAGACGGCCCAAGAGCCCGCAAAGATCGCCGAAACGATCGCCCAAGAGGCCTCCAAGATGGCCCCAGAACGGCCCAAGAGGGCCCCGAGATGGCCCCAAGAGGCCCCCGAGACGGCACAGGAGGCCATTAAGACGCCCAAGATGGCCTCCAAGACTGCCCTGGAGCATTCCAAAAGGACCCCAAGTCGGCCCATATAGGCCCCCCAAACGGCTTCCGACGGCGTCAGACGGACCAGGAGCCCACCTAGACGGCCGAACATGGCCCTAAGATGGCCCAAGACGGCCCAAGAGGCATCCAAGAGGGTCTCCAGGAAGGCCCGAAAAAACCAAAATCATTGACTTCCCATGGGTGTTTGAAGGATTGTGGCATTTGTTTGTTTTCTGCCTTTCGACGGCCCGAGACTGCCCAAGTGCCCCCAAAGATCGCCCAAGAGGCCCAAGACACGGCCCCAAGAGGCCCTCAAGACGGCCCAAGGAGGTCTCAAAGATGCGCAAGATGGCATTCAAGACGGTCCAAAAGCCCTCCAAGACGTCCTCCAAGAAGGCCCGAAAGTGTCAAAATGGCATCCAGACGGCCAAGATGACCTTCAAGATGCCCACGTGTTCCCCGAAGGCTTTCCAAACCGTTTCGGGGAGCACATGGTCCGATAGCTTTGCAGGTCTGGCCTCAACGTTCGGCCACATGGGCGCTTCCAAAAAGGCAGGGGGCGGCGGTGATTCGCCGTAGGCGTCTTCGATAAAGAACTCGTCAAGGCGCAAACGCTGAAGAGCACCCCGAAGCGATGAGCAACCGACGAACACGCCACAAAACATTGTTGAAGGTCGAGCCCGAGGGGAGATCGGGTCAGGTCGGGTATGTCCTCCTACAGGCGGATTGTGTAATCACCATAAAAATACCATCAACAATCAAACATGATCTAACAGATTAGAAACATCGCAACCAGACAATATTTAGTAGTGTTGAATAGTTCCTCCTGTAGATTGAGGGATGAGAACAAAAAAACACACCAACAACTGTCCTACCCTGTGTTACAAATGCGTGGTCTGTAAACCACCTAGGGTCCCCCCAAGCCTAGAAAGCCGCCAGGACGCCGCACATCACGCAGGGTTTGCCCTGTCAGCTCACAGGAGGTGTTCAGCGCACGGCGCCTCGCAAGCCAGGGCAGGGGCGCTTCGTATGCCCTCAAGGCAATACAAGCTTACACGTGATCAAACAAAATTTAATTACCCTGGCGAAGGACCCAACCATATTCAAATGTGAATAACGCATTGTGGGTGCCGTTATCGCTGGGGCACGACACGCGTGAGGGGCGCGCCGTAATGGGTGTGGCGGGCGCGTGCGGGCAACCCCACTGGGGCATTCGGTGGAGCTCCCTATGGGGCCACGAAACGCTGTCCTGGGCACGGGAGACGCAGGTGGACACCGTCACTGGGGCCTTCGGTGGAGCTCCCTATGGGGTCACGAAGCGCTGTCCTGGGCGTGGGGGACGCATGCGGGCACCCCCACTGGGGCCTTCGGTGGAGCTCCCTATGGGGCCACGTTGCGCTGTCCTGGGCATGGGGGACGCATGCGGGCACCCCCACTGGGGCCTTCGGTGGAGCTCCCTATGGGGCCACGAAACGCTGTCCTGGGCGTGGGGGACGCATGCGGGCACCCCCACTGGGGCCTTCGGTGGAGCTCCCTATGGGGCCACGAACGCTGTGGCGTGGGGGACGCATGCGGGCCCCCCACTGGGCCTTCGGTGGAGCTCCCTATGGGGCCACGCGCTGTCCTGGGCGTGGGGGACGCATGCGGGCACCCCCACTGGGGCCTTCGGTGGAGCTCCCTATGGGGCCACGAAACGCTGTCCTGGGCGTGGGGGACGCATGCGGGCACCCCCACTGGGGCCTTCGGTGGAGCTCCCTATGGGACCACGAAACGCTGTGCTGGGCGGGGGGCGCATGCGGGCACCCCCACTGGGACCGTCGGTGGAGCTCCCTGTAAGGCTACGAAACGTGTGAGGGGTGTGCCGAGAGCAGAGACAATGAGGGGGAGGAGGGAGGAGGGGGAGGGAGAAGCAGGAGGAGGAAGGAACGCGGGGCGCTGTCTCTTCAAAACGAGGACCCAACACCACAAGATGGTTGAAAAAAAAACGTCCCCAGGAATTCATTTGCTACTACTCAAGAGGGGGAGGAGGAGGAGGAGGAGGAGGAGGAGGAGGAGGAGGAGGAGGAGGAGGAGGAAGAGGGGGAGGAGGAGGAGAAGGAGGAGAGGAGCAGGAGGAGGAGAAGGAGGAGGAGGAGGAGCAGGAGGAGGAGGAGGGACGTGCCCGACTCACAAACCGCCCCCAGACAAAGAAAACTGCAGAGGGCCGTGCCCGACTCAAAGATCGGGGCGCCGCTGCGGACGGCGATCGGCGGCGCCTCGCCCGGGCGCGCCCTCGGTGGCCGCTGCTCCGCGCCCTCCGCCGCGCCCATGTGGGCGGGGGCGCCCGCGCGGGCGCGCGCGCGCGCCCCAGAGGCCAAAAACCGCCCCAGGGGCTGATGAGCGGCTCGCGCGAGAGCGGGGCCATCCTGCGGGGGGGGGCCTTCCTGGAGACCTCATCCTCCTCCTCCTCCTCCTCCTCCTCTCCTCCTCCTCCTCCTCCTCCTCCCTCCTCCTCCTCCTCCTCCTCCTCCTCCGTCCTCCTCCTCCGTCCTCCCCCTCCTCCGTCCTCCTCCTCCGTCCTCCTCCTCCTCCTTCCTGCTGTGCCTTAGGCAGAACGTCCTTCCTTGCGTCGAAGCTGCGTCAAACATCCTTCGATTTGAGTCGCCCCTGGGTCGAACCTGAGTCGAGCTTGAGTCGAGCGGGGGTCGAACCTGAGTCGAGCAGATCCGTGAGGTGGGCCCCAGGAAGGCCCCCAAAACGACCATCTCAAGGGAGGGGAGGGATGGAAGAGACGGGAGACCGCACCGCAACTCGACATCGAGGCATCTGTCACGATCTGGAGTGCAAAGGCTGGTACGTACACCTCAGCACACCGCAGTTACGGAGAAGAGTGGGCGGCGGCGGGATCGTGGGCAGCCTGCGAGGCTCTGAAGGCGCCCGCCGGAGGCGCGGAACTTTCAACACATTGCGCAACGCGTCCGCCGCAGGCGCGGAATTGTCGTCAAAACAATATGAGTGGGTCGCGGGTGGGTCGCGGGGTGCGTCGCGGGCCTGACTGTGCGGCCGAAGCCTAGCTGTGGCCGTGCCGCTGTGGCATAGCTCGCATCCCCTCTTCTGCCCCCCTTGTTTTCTCCTCGCCCCGCTCCCTGTCCTTCTGAGCCGCGTCTTCCTCCCCCTCCCTCCCTCCCCCCCTCCTCCTTCTCCTAAGCGCTCGTACTTTATGTTAGACTCGCATCGCGATTATAATTCACTCACTCACTCACTCACTCACTCACTCACTCACTCACTCACTAACTCATCCTCCTCTACGATCACCTGACACTTTTGCTCCGCAGCGAGGTCGATGCACAATGCACGACCGCCAGTCGCGGGATGACGTACGACTATCTCCCTCCCTGCCTACTGTTCCACACCCGGTGCAGTGAGGGCGCGTCATTCGTCAGCGAAATACTTATCCTCCGCATCGCGGCCCAGCTCCACGATGTCATCCAGATCAGAATCCTGCGGCAATAGCCAGGCAACAACGCGGGGCTGCAGATGGCACAAGGTATCTTATGATGCTGCTCCTGCTGCTTCTGCCAGTTGTTCTACCACTGCTGCTGGCCCTATTTGCGACTGCCACTGCAACCTGCTCTGGCGCCGCTGCTGTTGCCGCTGGCTGGCGAGGACGACTGCGACGCCAGCGGCCGTGCGAAAACTGCACTCAAGGAACAAGGGTTCTGCCGGGCTGCTTGAGGCAACAATGCCGTCGCGGCTCGTCGCTCGCCGCCGTCGCCGGCACCGCGATCGCCGCCGCGGTCGTCGCAACACCAGTCGCTGCAGGACTGACTGACTGACGGACGCGCCCTGACTCGGCGAGAATCCCACACTAGACTCAGGTCACGTGAAATCCAGAGGCTCACGCGCCCCCATCGGACACGGACGCGCATTGGCGACAACATGTGCCCACTCGCTGAGGGACCCTGTCTCAGGAGGCCGGAATCTTAGCCGAGCTGTTCCCCTGGCGGCGGCGCGTCCTCGTCCAGCTGAGCGTAGTCGAAGCCGGGCTCCAGGCCGTTCACGAAGCGCTCGCGCATGGCCTCTCGGGAGTGCTTTCTTTCGAGGAGCAGGAGGGGAGCAGACCTCCGGGCGACCATACGGCTCCGCGAGGCACGAGGCCTAAGTCGGGCCTGTCCCCGCACAGGCCGATCTTAGACGAAAAACTATAAATAATAAAAAATGCCCTAACATGTTCAAACATGTTTTTAAAACGTCCCAAGACTATGTTTTGGCTATTTTTGTACATACCTCCTGTAGAGGGACAGGCCCAACTTAACACAAGGGGGCCTTGGGCCTTGCCACCTCGCCTCTCATGGTTTACACGACCCAGATGCGCGTGAAGCTGCGCCCACATGTTTGATAGGCGGCGTGGTCGCCACCATCCCCCCATGGCTGATGCCTGGTGTTGGAGGCCTAGAATTAAATCGGGCCTGTCCCCCTACAGGGGGATTTTGGACGAAAATTTGCCGCCCCACCGGGCCAGAAACGTGCTAAGATCTCCGGTAACTGGTTCACAATATTTCTAGTTCGCGCGCCCGGAGCGGCCCCTGGGGGCCCCCGGACGAAAAGTACCCCGGCAAGGTCCCGGGAGAAGCCACCAGAGCACTCCAGGGGAGGGCCATTTTTCGACACCTCTCACAAGGATCGTGGCCTCCAAGGGGGGAGCCGCAATCGACTACCCCCCCCCTCCCGCCCCAAGAGGCCCCCAAAAGCCCCCAAGAGGCCCTGGGGCCTCCCAAGACGCCGCCAAGGAGCCCCAAGAGACTCCCAAGAGGTCCTCAAGAGGCCCCCGAGAGGCCCTAAAGAGGGCTCCAGGGCCGGCGGAATGAGCAAAGCGATTAATTCATCTTTTTAAAATGCCCCAATAATACCCCAAAATGGTCAACAAATCATCCCCATACTGCTTTTTCCCTACCTAGGCTCTGCCTAGATGGTTCTTACCCTGTATCTTAAAGGGGCCGGGCAGTGGAATGCGCCCGGGCGGTTCCCCCGGCATCCGCGCCGTGGTTCCCCCAGTTACGTCTCCTTAGCTTAGCGTTGCTTATCTCATCTTATCTTGGCTTATTTCACCTTAGCTTAGTTTAGCTTCATCTTAGCTCAGGTTTATTCCCTATCTAGGCTCTGCCTAGAAGGGTTCGTACCCTATGTGCTTAAGGGGCCGGGCGGTGGGAACCGGCCCAGGCGGTTCCCCAGGCATCCGCCCCGCGGTTCCCCCAGTTACGCCCCCTTAGCTTAGCGTTGCTTATCTCATATTAGCTTAGCTTATGTCATCTTAGATTAGCTTAGCTTCATCTTAGCTCAGGTGTATCTTAGCTTAGCTGACCTTCATCTTAGCTTCGCTGAGCTTTAGCATAGCATAGCATAGCAGACCAGAACATAGCATAGCATAGCAACGCATAGCCTAGCATAGCCCAGCATAGCATAGCATCGCGCAGCATAGCATAGCATATCGTAGCCTAGCATAGCATAGCGCAGTACAGCACAGCACAGCATAGCACAGCGCAGCATAGCATAGCATAGCATAGCATAGCGCAGCATAGCATAGCATCGCATAGCGCAGCATAGCATGGCATAGCATAGCATAGCAACTAATGCTGCTTTCCTAGGGGCTCCAACTTACAGGTAGGGTCGCACTGGGGTAATTTTTCTTTATTTGTGAATATCCCGCCTGTAGAGGGACAGGCCCGACTTGAGCCTAGAAATGGGCACCAACACCAACACAGGGGGTTGCCTCCACATGGGGAAGATGATCCTAGAGTTCGGTGTTGGCGGCAGTATTTCGGTCACCTTGGAAGCCAGAATATCACCACCATCACCGAGATCGGGGTCTTCTTCCCTCGGTGGAGGCACACCGCCGATATTGGTGTTGGTGTCAACCTCTAGGCTTGCGATAGTGGGCGATCTGGCGGGCAGCTGGGTGAAAACTGTGGAGGCGATGGTGACGATGAAGAGGGCAAGTAATGGCGATGATCCAATGTGGATGGCGGAGCAGGCTGACAGAGAACGGTCAAGAGGCTCCATACGTGAAATTGGTTTCGAGACCTCCCCCTTGGCGTGTCCCCGAAGCCTCAGCTCTGGCCTTCTGGATTTTGGCAAGGACGCGCCCGCATGTTGCGGAGCCGAAAAAACATGCAAAACACAAACAAGCAAGCAACTGGTACCGCGAAGTACGGCATTGCCATTGGCGCCGCGGCTCAACCCCTGCCGCGGGAGGCATGTACGGAAGGGGGCGCCGAAGCGGCGTCGACAGCACAGTGGTGAAACGCTGAGTAATGTGTGATATGATCGACCCACTGAAGTCGAGCCGAAGATGACCCACTCCGTGATGCTGCCAATGCAGAGCACCCGTGGTACCAAGAAAGTCAGCCCGGTGAGTATTCGGATGCCCCTGTCACTGGATAGCTCTTCTCTGAGCCCAGGCCCACCACCCTCATCTGCCACCAATTGGCCACTGGCATTGACCCGCCATTGTAATACGATCCGACACCGCAACGTGGGCTGCGGCTGGTGCGTCGAGCGGGCCTGCCAGTTTGTGTTTGTCTTTCTCCCCTCGCGAAAAGTTCCTTATCTGCGAAAGAAGGAGGAAGAGAGAGAGAGAGGGGGGGGGCAATCACGAAAAGACTGAGCGAGAGGGAGAGAGAAAGATAGAGAGTGAGCGAGTCAAAGAGGAAGAGAAAGAGAGAGAGAGAGAGAGAGAGATAGAGAGAGAGAGGGACAGAGATAGGGAGAGAGAGAGAGAGAGAGAGACAGAGGGAAAGGGAGACAGAACGGCGAGGGAGAGAGGGAGAGGGAGGCAGGACGAGGAGGAGGAGCACTGCTGCAGGCCGGGTGCCTGGGCAGCTCCGACACGGCAGAGCAGGAACCACCCCCGCGACGAGAAGAGAAGACCTCGCCCCCCCCACACCCACACAGCCCCGTCGAAGCAGGGTGAGCGCCCGCCTCTCTTGCTACGAATCCTGGACTCGGGGCCTCCCGGCGGAGCACCGGCGACGGAGCCCGCCCCCCCCGCCCGAGCCTCCCGCTCCTCCTCCTCATCCCCCCCTCTCCCAGCGGCGTGGCGGCGGACGTGCGCGGCAGCCCCGCCGGATATCCTCTCGCTGGCCCGTGCACGGCACTGCGCCTCGCTCAGGGGCCACGCTGGCACGGTCACCGCTAGCTCCGACGTGTGCCCGGTGGCAGCTCACGGGAGCCTCCCATACGACATCCTCTCGGCTCCCGCGGGTCGACGCTGACCGACGCCGGTCGACGCTCATCGACGCTCCACCGACGCGAGTCGACGTTAGCCGGCGCCAGATCGGCGCTGTCTCATCGACTCCACGACGCTGATCGGCGCTAGTCGACGCTAAAGACGGAACTAAGAGGGTACACCAGGCTCCCATGACTTGCTACCGAACGATGCTTGGGACCGCGGCAATGACTGCAGAACCTGGTCAAGAGCAACACGATCTTCCTGATGCATGCTGCGCAGCAGTGCAATGCCGGAGCAGTAGCCTTGGAGAAGATGTGACCTTGACAACACAACTCCTAGAACAGCAGACCACTGCCTGCGATCAAAATGCTGATTGGATCGTGAGAAGCGCGTGTCGCCCGGGAATGGTGGAGCTCCGAGGAACTTAGCCAATTTGTCCCAAAATTCGTGGCCTTCGTTGAGATCGCTCTGCGTCGCAACGAAAACGCGAGCCGCACCAAATATCTCAATAGCTGTCTCGAGCCGAGTGCGCGTGTAGTTTGCTTCGCCGTCTTTGGGTCGATGCCACGTAACTGTGTCCGAGTTCAACGAGTCCCGAACACAAGAACAATGACCCAAACGAATGCAATCGTCAAAATTCGGCACATCGAAGGCGTAGGAACACTGCGAAACAAATTTCAAATAAGATCTCTCAACCACCTCAATTGGGTCCATAATAACAACGACGATCCGCAGTCTCTGGATTCTGGCAAGCCTACTAAGGGGGGGGTCGGATCGGATGTACGAACCTCTCTTTACACCTCGAAGGAGTCCACGAGTTAATGATTTGCTGGACCCCGCCATCATACTCAATGTCTTTGAATGCGAATTGAAATTTATGACCTGCGACTCCGTTGGAACATGCAATTCACAATTGTAGAGAAACAATGACTCTTCGAGGTGTTTTGATCCATCCGTAATTAAGTCCATGCTGGGGTGCATCCCCAAATTGTAGGCCAAAGACGTTGTACCGCCGGTGCCTCCGCCGGACCCAAACCCAACAATAGCCCAATCGAGGCGCAACTTATCCCAGGAGCTCAGTCGTTGAACGTGCGCTCGCATATTGCGCCAACAATTCCTGCGTAACGCCAGTCGGGCTGCAGCTGTCTCGAAGAAATCTTCAACTACGTCGCAGTCGTACCCATACAGGAAAGCACTCGTGTACACACCTATGGCCTGCACGTCTCGCGGTGAACACCCAGCAGGAACGCAGAAGCCACCTTCGAAATCGGTAGAACCATTAGTATGAACTGAAATATGCCAGTAACCTCCACCGAAGGCAATACACCCATCATAAGCACTCTCCACCAAGCGCATTCGGTCCAAGTAGTCTTCGTGGAAAACTCCATCGGTCCGCGTTCGAACTGAGTGTCCAGTATAAGAGGTGTAGCTAGGAGGACAATCTGGACATCCAAAATAAAAAGGCTCGTCGGCAAAAAAGTTTGACAATGTACACGTGCCACTCGCCGCTGGGCCTTTTCCATGGCCAACATGAACAGATGCTACCGGTCCCGTTCCAGATAACGAATGTGACAAGCTCAAGGCCACCATCGAAGCCTTGACACGCCCACATTTTCCACTACACCAAGACATTGGCTTTCTCAGGATCCTGCCCAGCTAGGACAAATTCGGTTTGAGCAAAAAGTGTGCATTCAACTATATTGCATGTGGCTAGATAGAGGCAAAACTGATTGAGACAATTACGATTGAACCAAATAGGCTACGGAGAAGGGCGCGAGCCGTCTTTGGACTATAGGGCGTTCCTGGGCCATCCTTGAAACTGTCAGGGACCGCCCCATGGGCGCCCTGGGGTGCTTCGGGAGACGAGGTTCCATAGGGCCTGCCACTGGCCACACTGTGAATCGAGCCGCCTGCCACCCTGAGCCCACAAAGCGCGAATACGTGGTGCCGAAGACGAGACACTCCTGGAGAGGAGGAGCCCCATACTTAGAGGGAAGGGGGAGGGAGGAGCAAGGAGGGGTGGAGGAGGAGGACCAGGGATGAGGGAGAAACAAAACACGACGAGGGCGGAGGAGCAGGAACAACCTATTTCGCTTGGACACCGCCTGCCCGCCTCCCTGCCATCTCGGAAGTGGCGAGCACTGGGGCAGGGAGCACATCTGCCGCGCAGGCTGGTGCGATGGCGGGCCCACCGTCCCTCCCCGCAGCACAAACCAGAGGCTTCGAGGAAAGCCTACGGCGGGCTCGCGTCTTGTCGACCCCAGCGCTGGTCTCTGACACCGCGGGGACCTTTCCACCTGGAACGATCGGCCGATTCCAAAACGTCAAGTCGTTCAACATAGACCGAGTCTGGGTAGCCAGCGGCGCTCAACGCTGAACGCCGGCGGCAAGGTCGCCGCCGGTCGACACGACGCGAACCTACCGTAGGAGGGCCCAGAGCGTCTCACGCGTGCCTCACAGGACGCGCTAGTCTGCATTGATGGGCCTGTTTTTCCACCACCACCACCAAAAGTTGGAGGGGGGAAAAAGGTGGAGGAGGAGGAGGTGGAGACGGAGGTGGAGGAGGAGGAGGAGGAGGAGAAGAACCCCCTCTCCCTCTCCAACTTATGGTGGTGGTGGTGGAACACAGGCCCATCATTGGCACGCCTGCAGTGGGTACGGCAACAGATTGGCAGCGTGCCCCGCAGCAAAAATGTTGTCCAAGTCCGACAGCAGCCGCTCTTGGGCGGGCGACTCCTTGTCTCTCCGTGGGAGCCGTCCGCGGCGATGCCGCCGGGAAGTCCGGCTCAAATGGGCCAGGAGTGACCGTCGGCCTTCGTCCTCGCTCCGTCCGCCCCCGTGTCAGTAGAGCAGGGGCCCGACCCTCGGACGTCTCTCGAAACGGTCAGGGCGTGTGTTCTGCTCCATTCGGAGCTTGGACATCTCATGTCCGTTCTCGGCTCCGTTTAAGTTCCGTCTCCAGTGGAAATCAGCCGCGGCTTTTGTTCCGTTCCCGCTTCCGTTTTCCTGTAGTTTTCGTCCGTATTCGGCGTGCCGTTCTTGTCCCGTTCTCGTCTCTCCCCGAATGGCCAATCGCGTCGCGCAGGCAGCCCGAGGAAGAATGAGGAGGAAAGCAATATAAGCCACGAGTCGTATACTCGCAACGCTTTCGATTATAAAACCACCGCTGCGCCAGCTCAATTGAAAGGTACATGTGTGCAGATCCACCACCGTACATTCGGCACGTGGTGGAGTGCCCTAAGGCTCACGCACCTCTGCGAAGCATAGAGGGCTTGTGGCCCTTGCGAGTTCTTCAAAGTCCCAACCCCAGGTTTCCCAAACGCTCCTGGTGACTACTGCTCCCTCCCGGGGTGTGTCGCTTGAGCCTGTGCCACGCCAAGGGAGCCCCAAGACGGGCCCTGGGCATCGCTCGGACGTCCATTCCCTGTGTTTGTTTCGGTTTCGTGCGTGTTTTTCGCCAAATGATCCAGGATGGTCCTGGATGGTCCTCGCCGAAGGAAAAATGCACACGTCCGAGCGATGCCAAGGGCCAAGAGGACCCTAAGAGGCCTCAAAGGCAGCCGAAGGCTCCGAGTCGTCGAGCAAAATCGGCGCAAGACGCCCGAGGTGTGCCCGCCAGACGGCCGAAGATGCCCCCTAAGACGCACCAAGAGGCCTCCAGGAGGCCTCCCTAAATGAAGGGGCCCCAGGACACACAAATAAAGACACACACGAAAATAACAAGGATTCCCTATATTTTCCTATATTTTCTGGGTTTTCGTCTTCCCCCCCACTTCCCATATTTTCCAATATTTTCTGGGGAATCGTCGATTAAGTGTGTCTGTGTGTTTTTTCCCTCCTGACTAAAGGGCATGCCCGCCCCAAATGCTCTACGTAAAAGTTCAAGTAGTTGATGTCACTGTGAGTGTGTCCTTGAACGACTTTGAGCTCAAACTTGTCGAAGGCAACCCACTCTGGGGACTCCACTGTAAGGTTCGACACAACGTCACGATACCCTCCGGCTTGATTCCCCTCTGCCCAAGACACCGCAACATTGATCTCGACAAATGCACGTCTGCGCCAAAAAACACAAGGAACACTCTCACCACCATGTCGCCCACGACCCAGGCACAGCGTCCGGATGGGCCTCAGGCCAATACATCGTGACACGTGCATGCAATGTGAGCGCGCGTCAGCGCACGTGTAGACAACCGTCTAGTCGAACACGGGCGGCCTGTACACATGCCACGTCTCCACCACGGCCCCGCCGCGATGAGCTGCTGCAGACGCCTCCCCCTCGTGGGAGGCATGGCTTGCGGGTCATGACCCCTGCCTTTGGCGGCCGTTCGGCAGGATCCGGGCACGATTGGAACGCTCTCGGCGAGGTGCAGCTGCTGCAACATCCCCCGGAGTCTACAAAAACGTCCGAACACCTCGAACCTCGAACTCCAAAGGAGACCGGCTTCGGAAGAACGTTTGGCTCCGCCTCTGGGGACGCGCGCATGTGGAGGCCTTCAAGAACTGCGCGCGCCGCAGCGCCGGGTCCTGTTCGGACGCGGCGCCCTCGCCGTCGAACTCACCGAAGTCCGCATCGGCACCGTCCTCCTCCTGCACGCCAAGGAAAAGAATAGTCTGAACGGAATGATAATCGGGGACGGGGTGACTAACCGTACAACGGCGCTTCCCCATCCCCACCCCCTAGCACCTCAACGCGAGACCATCTCTCAAACTCCTGCCGACAGCACGCGCCCATCCCCCCCTCGATCTCAGGAGGGCGGGGCGATTATTATCCCACTCGGAGTAGGGGAGGGAGGGGCGGGGAAGGTTTTGAGGTTTGAGCTGTTCTGCCGTTTTCGTCGGTTCTCGTTGGCTTTCAAGCCTCGGGATGCCTTCCAGCAGCTGCGCCTCGCCAAGCGTTCCAAGGATGCCTGCATCGTCTCGAAATACCGCCAGAGACCCGAGCTATGACCCGAAAATCAGGGGGCAACGTTGGGGAGGGGAGAAGGAGGGGAAAGAGAGAGAGAAAGGAGGATGTGACAGACGGACGAGGAGGAAGAGGGAGGGAGGGGGGAGGACGATGAAGGAGGTACAGAGAAGGCTCTCAGGGTAGCCTTGGCCATTCTGGCCCTCAGGGGGCAATGTACAAGCACAAGCTCGAGTTCCACGTGCGCGATATCGACGTTGCTCGCACAAGCGAAAGAGAGAGAGAGAGAGAGGGAGAAAGAAAACAAGAGAGAGAGAGAGAGCAGGGGGAACACGTGCGGAGCGGGCCCCTTTCAGGACACTGCTCCCAAAACGCCGACCGTGCCATCCCCGACGTGACGGGAACCCTCCAAGTGTGGGCGAAAGCCCACGGGTTCCAATCGTGTGGCGACCCGTGGCCGTGGTCGCAGACACATTCGCTTTGCCTGCCCAGCACCGACCCCCATCCAACCCGTCGCTGTCGGCGTGGACGTCGTTCTCCGAACGCCACGCCAAGGCCACGACGACACCAACCGAAGGGCAAAGGACGGCTTACTCGGAAATCCCCGACGAGGTCGTCAAAAAATGGCGAGGCCGAGCCTGCGTTTTGACGAGGCCTCCCGCTGTAGACATCCCACGAAACTCCTCCTCGTCAAAATCCGAGGCGCGGTCGTCAAAAAACGATGGCGAACCCGAGTCCGAAAGATTGCAAAAAAAAAAAACGGTCTTACGCTCCCTCGAAAGGGCAAAAGACGGCTTCTGCGCCCAAGCCCATCCGCATCCGCGGGCGCGCGGCCCAAACGCCCCCCCCCCCAAAAAAAATCTGGATTGGCTCCCGCCTGCGAGGGCGGAGGGCCCTGGGGGCGATCCACTCCTCGAGCTCGACAAGTAAGAATGAAAGGGGCCTGGGACACACAAATGACTACACACACAGATAACATGATTCCCCACATTTTCAGTTTTTTCTGTGATTTGGTCTTCCCCCCAATGCCCACAGTTTCCCACATTTTCCTTGGGATCGACGATTAAGTGTGTCTGCGTGTTTTTCCCCGCCTCAAAGCATGGAGAGTGGACGGAGCCTCTTTGGCGGGCTTGGCCGCGCGCCCCGCCGAGGACGTCCTCACCATCTGCCCGGCGCGGCCCCCGGTTCTGGGCCGGCTTGGGCCCAGCTTCGCCCGAGACGTCCTGACAGTGTGGCCCTGGCTTGGCCCTGGTTTGGCCCTGGTTTCGCCCTGGTGCGGCCCTGGTTTCGCCCTGGTTCGGCCTGGTGTCGCCCTGGTTTGGCTGGTGTTTGTCTTGGCCCTGGTCTGGCCCTAGTTTGGCCCGGCTTGGGCCCAGTTTCGCCCGAGACGGCCTCAAGGTTGCCTGGCTTCGCTCTGGTTTGGCCCGATGTGGGCCCCGTTGCGCTTGACACGCCATCGCAAGTTCCCTGGTTTGGCCGGCTCCAACAACCTTCACGAGTGTCGCAGGCGAACCACCAACGAATGTCTGTATGGTTGGGTCGAATCCGTCATGGTCACCATGCGGTTCTGACGCACAGTGGGAAGTGTCACGTTTTCCCCACACCGAGCAGTCAATGAACAGGCGTCGTGGTGGGCGTGTACAAGCCGAAGAGCTGGCACGGCGTCGCGGCCTGACGCGTCCGCCTGCACATTGTGCGCCGGCGCGCCGCAGAGTGAGCACTGCGGCCTCGAGGCGTCGTGACGCCTGCGGGGCTCGGCGTCTCAGCACGACCCCACCGCCCGCTCGCCCAGCTCCAGGTGGGGCCCAGTCTGCCCCTGGCTGGTGCGGCGACCGTGGGGGGCCCCGTCCTCGCGCGACGGGGGGGCCCGCCAAGGACAATTTGGGAGAGGGTCTTCTGCACAGCGGCAGCTTAGCATCTCAACGACGGGGCAGCCAGGAGGTTAGCGGGAGGAGGTGGCCACCAGTGCAGCAAGCAGTGCGGCAACGGAAGAAGGGAGGCGAGAAGCTCTGGTGACCCCAGCCTAGGGGCCAGGGCGAAGGCACAACAGCCTTGTGAACTTCTGCGAGACAGCTGCGCACCAGCTGTGCATGCCGCTCCAGCAGAGCGCCCACCTGGCCCATGAAGTCCAGTTGCCTCGTAAACTCCCACGTATACCAGCATGTTGGTATAAGGCGGGACTGGCTATGGCCAAAACATCTCAGCTCTAGGGCGACGTAGGGCTCTGGAAAGAAAACTACCCCAACATGATCGCATCTGGGGGGCGAATGTAAACAGTGAAACAAGAAACCTTGGTGCACATGAGATAGTGAAGCATGCCTGGTAAAACTGGAGCCCAATGAATGCTGACACCCATGACGATATCCAACCTCACCCTGTGCCTCCTCCTAATTGACACTAGGCGTTAGATATAAACATAGCTGTCCAACCACATGGTGATGCACATCCCTCCACTGCATCTTCTCCTGCATATGATCATATTTTTTTTCGACTGCTCCTCCAGTGTATGTGCATCCTCCTCCTCGTCCTCTAGATGTTGCTGTTCCTCCTTCTGCTGAGTCTAATGGTCGTCCCCCTCCTCATCCTCGTCCTCATTCTCATCTCGCATCCTCCTGCTCCAAATCCTCCTTCTCCTCCCCACAACTGCCAAATACAAATACTACTCGTCTCGCTCGTCGGATTCTGTCCGAGCGGGTCACATCTCTCTCCCGCACGGTGTTTGTCGTACGCGTTTGATTTCAGACATCGGCTTGTCATATACGTTTTGCAATCGGAGGGTTTCGATGTTTCAACATTGTCGGGCCGGGTGAAAGGGGGGGATAGCAAAGGGGGGGTTTGAGAATCAGCTCACGTAGCTGATTTTCCCGGCGCCTCCCAGCGCCGGAGGCGGCTATGTATCGAAGAATGGGCCTCTCCGTGGGGCCGAAACCAAGTGCATGCAGCAAATTTCGTAACCCCCCCTTTCCCAATCCCCCCCTTTCGTCTGGCCCGACATTGTGTTGTCTCTGCAGTCTTGACCTCATTTCAGAATCGGCGCTTTGCTCCCGTCGTTCAGACTGGCGCTCCGGGCCCGCCGCAGGGCACAATCGCGGATCCGAGTTCGTTTTCGTCTCTGTCCACCCCCTCCTCTCACCTGCTCCACCTTCCCATGAACATCGTGCTCACCTCCTACTCTTGCATCTCCTGCTTCTGCTGCTGCTGCTCTTTGTCTCCCATCCTCCTCATTCTTCCGACTCCCACACCTTCCACATGCGCGTCCTCAGCCTGATCCTCTCTCTCTCTCTCTCTCTCTCCTGAGCAACCTTCTGCACATCCACCACCTGCTCCCCTCGTGTACACAGCACGAGTTCAGATTGCGCCTATCACGATGGGTACCTTTTGGGGAGTTCCCGCTCCGCTATGACACTGGTCGGCTGATACAGAAGGATCAGCGCAATGTGAAGGGATGGCTGGAAGGGGTCAGATGTCAGATATGGCGCGAGCGCGCCTACTCCGTGCCCCTCCACCTGCTCCTCCAGGATGGTAAAGGGGAGGAGATGAGGTGATAGGGGAGGAGGACGATGACGAAGACGAGGACGAGGACGGCGGCAACGACACCACACCGACACCGACGCCCACGCCCACGATGCCACTCGCAACGATGACAACGTCGACGACGACGACGACGAAGACGACGCTAACGCGGACGCCGACGCCCACGCCAGTGACGCAGACGACGACGCCGACGCCGATGTGACGCACGACGGCGACCCTCGCGACCGCGGCCGCCGTGGGTCGGCGGCCGCGAGCCATGATCAGCAACAAGAAGAGCCCCTAACCCTTTGCAAGGGGACCTGAGTTGGGAGGGCCAGGAACATTCGGGACTTAGAGGGGCTCTTCTGCTAACAGTGGGGATAGAGGGTCTTTTCTGCATAGATGTACCAGGCCAACCATGGCCCAGACTTCAATCATCCCTAAGGCGGAGGACCCCTCCTCCTCCTCCTTCTCCTCCTCCTCCCTGCCTCCCTCCCTCCCTCACTCGCTCCCTCCCTCCCTCCCTCCCTCCTCCTCCTCCCTCCTCCTCCCTCCTCCCTCCTCCCCCTCCCCCCTCCTCCCTCCTCCCTCCCTCCCTCCCGCCTCCCTCCCCCCTCCCTCCCTCCACCCTCCCTCCTCCCTCCTCCTCCTCCCTCCTCCCTCCTCCCTCCTCCCCTCCTCCCTCTCCTCCTCCCTCCTCCCTCCCCTCCGCCCTCCTCCTCCCTCCTCCTCCTCCTCCCTCCCTCCCTCCCTCCCTCCCTCCCTCCCTCCCTCCCCCCGCCCGCCCGCCCGCCCGCCCGCCCGCCCGCCCGCCGCCTCCTCCTCCTCCTCCTCCTCCTCCTCCTCCTCCGTCCTCCTCCGTCCTCCTCCGCCCTCCTCCGCCCTCCTCCCCCTCCCCTCCCTCCGCCCTCCTCCGCCTCCTCCTCCGCCCTCCTCCGCCCTCCTCCGCCCTCCTCCCCTCCTCCCGCCTCCGCCTCCTCCGCCCTCCTCCGCCCTCCTCCGCCCTCCTCCGCTCTCCTCCGCCCTCCTCCTGCTCCTCCTCCTCCTCCTCCTCCGCCTCCTCCTCCTCCTCCTCCTCCGCCTCCTCCTCCTCCCCCCCCTCCTCATCGAGGCGGGTGCTGCGGCCAGGCTCCAGGCAGAGGTGGGCGGCACGGTGGCAAGAAGCAGGACT